TTTCACAGTCAACAGCTTTAGCAGCAACAGGTTGGTAGTGATTATTTCAGTGATTATAGCCATCTTGCATTGGTCTTGTTTCTTGGAAAGCTGCATTATATTCCGTTTCTTCCGTCATCTTGAAATGTAATTGTGCCCTTGCGTTGAAGACAGGCGATGAGCATGCAATGACAGAGTTTTTGTTCGCACGCATAGAGAATTCTTAGTCACACATGTCTTTCATTGCATGATGGTCTCACTTCAATGCAAAGGCATTCTTACAATTTTCAAAGTGGTGCAAGGAACCATACAGAAGACATACTAAGACTACGTTCATACGGGGCCAGTCAAGTTTGAGGACACCTCAGTTTTAGGACAGTTCCCACTGTTCACACGGAACCGTCCACATTTTGGTACGGATTGAAGCAGTGTTCACGCGGATCCATTCATGCTTYGAAGTRACCTGYCCTCAAAGTGGAACRGCTTTCTAGCCRGCCCCAAAGCTGAACACTTTGCCAGCCTCAAATGAGGAAAGAGTTCCAGTGTGAATGTGCACCTACACTAGAACAGTTCCAAACAGAACCGGCCCCGTGTGAGCGTAGCCTTTAAATATCAGGGCTGTCAACTMCCAACTCTCTCAAGATTTTGGGCAGTATCTCCTGGTCTCAAGAATTCAAAATAAAATCTGATGGAAACCTATAGAAATTTAATTTGTTATTTTGTTGTACTATAGTTGTTTTAGTTTATTTTTTAGTTGTTTTAGAACATTATTTTGTTTGTTTTCTTTCAGGTTTAATCTGGTCAAGATATTCGATGGTCATTATCCCTAAGAACTGGCTTTTATTTAGTGTAAATATTGGTTTAGGAATAACTGGACTGAACCAACTGGGACGCATTGCATAGTGAGTGATAATAGCATGCACCCTCTGGAACCCCCTTAAAAATCAATAAGCAACAAAATTYTAAGGGGGCTCCAGGGGGTGTACATAAGATTGAACACTTATACCAATGTCCATTGAAAACTGACACTTGACAATCTCTGTCCTATTATTATTATTTTGAAATTGTCAAGTCTTTTAGAATGTTTGCTTTTGTTGTTTCCATAGCTACCGATACACACATCCGGAACTTTTTCAAGAGGTCGAAACAAAAGAAGAAAATAATGAATCAAGTGAAGCTAAACAAGAAACACAAGCCCCAAAAGCATCATGAATCAGTTCAAAAATTGTAATTTTACA